AATAATCATAATACCATTATCATCCCTGACAAAATAAGATAATTTCTTATCTTAAAATAGTCAAATTTCCTCAGTTGTCATCAAAACATCTTTGGACATTTGGTCAAGAATCAAGATCCAAACAAGATCCACGACAATGCACGACTGATGTCTCAACTCTCTTCATCTGTAACAGTTCTTCCTTTTTAAAAATGCCATTTATCTATTGGAAATAGTGTGTTTTGTAGAATTTCTCACATTTAGAAACTGAATAACTGCCTACCTCATGGCTAATTAGTCTGTTCCTGTAGCCCCATTTCCCTATAAACTGGCAGTTAGATCTATGGTTCTGTTAGATTTAGGTTCAGTTTTTATTGGTGGAGGAAATTTTCAGACAGTGCTGTGTGCTTTCAGACGCTGTAAGGCACATAATGTCTGGCTGCTCCATTATACACCCTCAAGCCATCAACTTAGGCTCCTGAAGCCAGAAGAGTTTCTCCAGGCTCCAGAGAGCTTGGATTCTTAATCATGATGCAAATATAAAGCTACACATACATAAAGCTCTACTTTGGTTTCTTTCTTTTGTGGGGAGGGAGTTTTAGAAAAAAAGTTTTGATACTAGAAAACTTTTAAGACATTTAGACCTAGTCTAATACGCTGAGATTTTACAGATGAAGAAACAGAGGCACAGAGAAAGCAAAGGGTTTGCCAGCGTCCACATTGCTGGTTATGAGCACGCTCAGAAGTAGCTCCTAGGGCCGGGCACGATCGCTCATGCCTGTAATCCCAACCCAGCACTTTGCGAGGCTGAGGCAGGTGGATCACCTGAGGTCAGGAGTTTGAGACCAGCCTGATCAACATGGAGAAACCCCGTTCTACTAAAAATACAAAATTAGCCGGGCATGGTGGTGCATGCCTGTAATCCCAGTTACTCGCCAGGCTGAGGCAGGAGAATCGCTTGAACCTGGGAGGTAGAGGTTGTGGTGAGCTGAGATCGTGCCATTGCACTCCAACCTGGGCAACAAGTGCAAAACTCTATCTCTAAAAAAAAAAAAAAAGCAGCTCTTAATAACGGTGAAGTAGCTTTGGCACTGCAAGGTCATGGTGATGCCCTAGATCCACACAGACACCCAGCTAGTACAACCAGGGCAATCTGGGGAAGGGCCCACACCCAGGAAGCAAAGCAGAGAGGTTTACATGGGCCCAGTTCAGTGCAGCAGAGGATCTCTGGGGCACCACAGGATTGCTGAATTATAATCTTTTTAAATTTTGGGCCAGTTGGTTGCATTTCAAAGGGACACAGAAAAAAATGATGCTCAGAACATAAACATTTAAGTCTCAGACCTTGTTCCAAACTTCAGCACTAGGTTTCTTACTACACATCAAGTTAAAGGTGTACACAAAACAAACCTACTGACTACCCCGGCTAGGGTGGATGCGGGCTTGTGGAAATGATATACAGACACTTATTGACTTAAGATGGCGTTACATCCTGAAAATACCATAAGGCCAGCCATGGTGGCTCACATCTGTAATCCCAGCACTTCAGGAAGCCTAGGCCAGCAGATTACTTGAGCCCAGGAGTTCGAGACCAGCCTGGGCAACATGGCAGAACCCCATCTCTATAAAAAATACAGAAAAAAATTAGCCAGTGTGGTGGCATGCACCTGTAGTCCCAGCTACTAGGGAGGCTAAACTGGGAGGATCCTTTGAGCCCGGGAGTTTGAGACTGCAGTGAGCTATGATTGTGCCACTATACTCCAGCCTGGGTGAGAGTGAGACCCTGTCTAAAAAATAAATAAATATAATTAAATTGAAAATGCATTTAATACACCTAACCTACTGAACATCAAAGCTTAGCCTAGCACCAGGCACCATGGCTCACGCCTGTAATCCCAGCATTCTGGGAGCCCAAGGTGGGCGGACTGCCTAAGGTCAGGAGTTCAAGACCAGCCTGGTTAACGTGGTGAAACCCCGTCTCTACTAAAAATACAAAAATTAGCTGGGCATGGTGGCACACACCTGTAGTCCTAGCTACTCAGGAGGCTGAGGCAGGAGAATCACTTGAAGCCGGGAGGCGGAGGTTGCAGTGGGCCAAGATCATACCACTGCACTCAAGCCTGGGCGACAGAGCAAGACTGTCTCAAAAAAATAATAATAATAATAATAATAAAACAACTTAGCCTAGCCTATCTTAAATGCACTCAGAACACTGATATTAGCCTACAGATGCCAAAGCATCTAACATAAAGCCTATTTTAAGTGTTGAATGTCTCATGTAATTAATGTATTGAATACTATACTGCAAGTGAAAAACCATGGTTGTATGGGTACCTGAAGTACAGTTTCCAATAAATGTGTATCACTTTCTCATCAACATACAGTCAAAAAATCATAAATTGAACCATCATAAGTTGGGGACTATCTGTACTCTCAAGCCTCACGGCACTACACGTGCACCAGCCACAGCAAACTTTCAGTCCAGTTAGGCTGACTTTTCCTCATATTCCTGAAAGCACACGTGCAACTCCCCCCAAAAGAAAATCTTCACAAAAGGCAAATTAAAAACTTATTCTTTAAAAATTCATCTCACCACATTCCGAAGCAAAAAACAGCTAATTCTTAAGAGTCACCAACCTTTAAATTATCCATCCCATGCCCTTCATGTCTGTGGATAAGCAAAAGTCAAGTTTTAAGGAGACAGATCCCATACATGTCATGGAGTAATGATATAACAAAAGAAAAGGAAAGATCTGCATTCAGCAACCCCATTATATTACAGGTAGAGAAAAGCAGAGACCCAGAGAGAAGTCCCACCAAGACCCAGAGTAACAACTTTTACCTGCCAGGCAATGGGCTAAATACACTTATCATAACAACGAATTCTCATAATACCCCCATGAGGCAAGTAAATCATAAACACCTATTATACAAATTAAGAAGGTGAGGCACAGAATGGTTAAATAACTTGCCCAAGGAGGCACAGCTAACAAGTGGTAGAGCTGGCATTTGAACCCACGCAGTTTGACCCCAGAACTTTCGCTATATATCATCTCTTAACTTAGACATCTTGGACCTTATACTTAGAAGGGGTATGGCTAGGATAAGGCAAAAATTTTAAACATTTAAAAATACTCTGGGGAGGGAGGGAGATCTAAAAAACCAAAATGCAAATCCCAAGACTTAAAACTACAAATGTAAGACTTGGATGCTTAAAGCAGAATACAGAACCCCACAAGAAAGTAGAGATATCACAAAACATATTTTATTACTAGTTACTGCATGTGTCCCTTAAAGAACTAAAACACCAACATCTGAGCCAAAAGTAAGGCTAAAAATAGGCATTTACAGCAAGCTTTGGAAAGCTTTTAGTTTGCTTATGAGGTACTCATTTCTGTAGACTCCCAAAAACATATGCATCACAGAACACAAAAATTCCCAAGACCACACAGCCACTCCACTAGTGTCACATTTAAATTGGTCGAAGCTGTAAATAAAACCAGGGCTGGAAAAGCACTTCAGAGATTCATGTAGGCTCCAGAGAAAGTGCCACCATCTAGCCTTATCAGACTGACAGCCCAATCACAGAATTCTCTCTCAAAATACACACAAGTCCTAACAACAAGCTTAGAGAGAGAAGCTACAGAATTAACTTGAGTTAGGCTGTCAAAACCTATTCCAAAGGTTCTAAACCAACGAGTAGACACTCTCTTACCTTAAGATTCCAAAAAACAATAACAGAGCAAATCTACCCTTACTGAGAATTTTGCTTTGGGCAATTAAAGCAAGTCAGCTTCTCCACTCAGAGGAAAAGGTGAGATGCCAGCCAAGCTGTCTTCTTCCCACGATCAATAACCCCAGTGACGCACACTATCAAGGGCTCCTGGACTTACACAAAATGCCAGCTCAGGCACCCAATACCACCTGATGTCATGGCTGATTTAAAACCCACAAGGCAGGTTCACCATTAGCCAAGCAGCAGCCAGGATGAGTAGCCCCATTTAAAAGGAGTGCTCTCTCCCGGGGATGATTATACCCTTTTGAGTTTAAAGAGTGGAGAAGGACCAAAGAGTGTTCTGAAGTTGTTTTCCCTCATTCTGTAGGTGGATAGGAGGGATGTGAAAGAAAACGGAGGTTTCAGCACTGTCTTTTGCATAAGACGGCTCTGGAAGGGAAAGGGGGGAAGGGAAGGAGGGGAGAAGGAAGAGAACACAGTTTGAGGGACTGTTAGTAAACCCCCAATGTCCTCTCCTCCAAATGAAGCAACCTGAAAAGAAATAAAAATTGCAACATGCTGTTTTCAGGACTGGCTATTCTGGCTTCCCTAGGACTAGCAGTGCTTCTACTTCTTTGACTGTAAAGGCATTAAGCACCCCCTTTATTTTCAATGGTTTAAACCAGTTAGCCTCAATCAGCTACGGCAGGAGAGGAGTTTTTTTTAAAAGCACCAGGGCTACGACCAGAGGCCATCATTCTAACTACAAGACAATTTCAAACCGACCTACCTCAAACGGACCCAAAACCAAAGAATGGAGACCCGCCCTATGCGCCGGCCGAGGGAAGAGTGGGCGCGCCCCCCCATCCAAGCCGACGATCTATTCTCGGCAAAGACAGCCCAGGAGCAGACTCCATATTCTGCACCGCCTCTCTCCCCACGCTGACACGGCTCTGCTGGGATTTCCTGCAACCCTTACCTCCCCCTGGAAAGGGGCACGGTCCAAAAGGACCAAAACGCGGAGGAGGGAGAGGGAGGACTCCCGGAGCGCCGGTCGGCAGTCACATGCCGCTCCCCGCGCGGGGAGGCACCACGTTGTCCCGGCTGCAGAGGAATGCCGGGAAGGGGGGACGCGCACACACCCGCGCCGCGCACACGCACACTCGGCGCCGCGGGCCCGCACCCGCCTGCCACCCCCAGCGCCGCGGCCCGCGCCGAACGCCGAGGCCGAGCGACCCGCGGGACGCCGGAGCGGCGCATGGCGCCCAACTGTCACCCGCCCGCCCAGCCGGGCCACTCCCTCCCCCGCCGCCACACGCCCCTCAAGTCGCCGCAGGCCCCTCACCCGCCTCACATTTTCCGCCAACCTCCTAACTGGCTCCCCCAGCACACTCGCCGTCGGGCTCCTTCTTAAGGCGGAAGGTGCCCGGGATCGGGGAGGGAAACCACCGAATTCGGTAACACGATGGGTTTCTTCTCTCCATAACTAACCCTTCAACCCGTCTCCAAATGGCGATTTTACCGCCCAATATCATCTCCCCGAGAACAAAACTTGTTAACTTTTAATCCCCGAATCCGTGCGGCCGGCATGTACTCCGCGCCGGGCACTGGGTTGCCCGTGACATATGCTCATTAAACATTTACAACATGGGGACGCTCGCAACGCTACCAAAACGGGGAGCACCGGGCGGGGTGGGAAGAGGGGCTTCCCAAGGAAGGTTCAAACCAGAAACCGTCTCCTACACCAGCATGCGGTGGGGATCGTTTCACTGAAACCAGCGCCCACCCTCTGCCGACGAGGTAGGCCCGGATCACACCGTTGCCCACTAACCGCTGAGGCCCAGGCGGTGGCCGTAGCCTCCCGGAGGCCGGGTCCTCGGGCAGGGGCAGATCCCTGAGTGTGCGGTTAGGGGAGGGCGCGGCGACCAGGATCAACCAGGAGGCAATTTAAAAAAGTCCCGAGTCACCATGACCGGTAGCGGACCCCGGGGCCCTGGAGGTGCTGGGGGAGGGGACTCCCATGTCCCCGGAAGAGGCCCCCGGGCCCAGGAGGGCAAGGAGGGAAACCCACCTGGGGGGGACTGTCCGTTCACGGTGGTCAGGACCGGCTGCAATGCGTTCTTAGTCCACGGGTTCACCTTGGGCGGGGGGGCTTCCACGAAGTCCCGGCGCCCCGCGCCCGCGGCTCCGGCAGCTCCTCCGCCAGCGCCTGGCTCGCCGCCGCCCTCCTCCCCGTCGCTGACGGCCGGGCCTTCGGCGCCGGGCAGCTGCAGCGGCCGCGGGCTCTCGCGCTCCTGCTGCCCGGTGCCCTCCTTGAGCGGCTTGGCGCAGGGCGGCCGGGGTCTCCGAGCGCCGCTGTCCGGCTCCCCCCCGCGGACGTCGTTCGCCCCGGGCTCGCCCTTGCCCTCGGGCGCCGGCGGCGGCTTCTTCCTCACCAGCCCCCCGTGCTCTTCGGCCTGCAAGAGCGGGGCGCTCCCAGGCAGGAGCGGCTCCACCTGAGTGGCCATCTGCGCGCCCGCCCCCCCGGAGAAGCCGGGCGCGCCCGAAGCTGCCTCCCCCGCCTCGAACTTGGCTAGCACGGCGCCCGCGACGCCTTCCTCCGGGGCGCCGGGCCCCAGTCCCTGCGGAGAAGGGTCGGGGTTCACGCGAGGTGCGGCCCCCTCCCAGTTAGATGCAGCCGCCGTAAATCCGAGGCCCACTAGCGGGGCGGGGGGGGAGGAAGGCCCCCCACTCTGCGGTCCAGGCCTCCTTGGCGTGCGTCCCCCCCCGCCCGTTCCTCGCAAGACGCCCCCACCCCGAGCCCAGCAGGCTTCTAGTCCCGTCCCTCCCTCCCCCCCGCCCCCGGGGCGGCCCGGGCTTCCCGGCTCGGGGGCTGCAGCAATATGGACGGACGGGGGAGAGGCGCGGCGAGCCGAGCAGACCACGCGATCCGCGGCAGGCGGCGGGCGGGCGCGCGCCTCACGACGCGGCGGGCGAGAGGGGACGGCGCAGCGGGGGCGCGCCCGCCGGCCGGGCCCTGGGCGACGGGCGGGCAGGAGGCGGCGGGAGCGCGCGCGCACGGCTCCGCGGTCCTGCCCCTCGCCCCGCCCCTCGTCTCCGATTCCTCAGAGCACCTCCCGGGCTGGGGGTAGGGACGCTCAGACCGGACGGGGGCGAGCACGTGCCTGATGCAATTCGGGAGTTGTAGGTGGGGGCGCTGAGGGGGATAGGAGAGAAGGCTGGGCGAGGAGGGGAGGTGTCTTAAAGGGCCAGCGCATGAGAGCGGCCTCAGGTGGAGCACATGGGACCGGGCCACGCGGGCGGCAGGGCCTGCTCGCGCTCTTTAGGCTGGGTGTCAGATTCAGGGGAAGGATCCATTAGTGTCATTCCTGACTTCCGGGAGACCGAAGGGAGGACCCTCATCCGTCCCGAGGACGCACCAACGCTGCCCCTTCCCCTGTGCGCGGCGGGCCTAGCCCCTTCGGTCCCCGCCCGGGTGACCTTGGTTGGGTGAGCCTTCCGCACCTCAGCGGGTTGTGCTCCGCGCTTCGCCGCCGCCGGACCTGGCCCCGACGCTACCCGGAGATGGGTTCGACTCCGGGCCTGGAAGGCGATTCCTTAGCCCTTGAGGGCAGCGGGCGCCTAGGAAGTGGGAACGGAATTACCAAAGCCCTCACCCAGACCAGGCCCTTCTCCCCACCGCGAAACCTTGTATTTATGGGCAGAAAATGTCTTTTCTTTTAAGTGGATGTCTTTTTTTCCCTCAAGAATTGCTTTGGGCGGAGTTGAACCGTCCCTGGATTGGGACTTCTGAGATCTGAGATTTTATCCTGGCCCTGCCCCTTACCATCTGCAGCAGTGACTTCCAGCTTCGTGGGCCTCAGTTTCACCATTGTAAAATGAAGGAACAACGTATGACAGCAGTTTCAAACTTCAATGTACATTCTAGTCAATAAATACTTACTGACCTCGTACTGTGGGGACCTTGCAGGGTTCTAGGAAACGGGTTTGGTATAAACTAGGCTAATGAAGTCCCTATCCTCATGGAATTTATTCTAAGGTGGGGAAAGAGACAATAAAAAAGTGATAAATTATTGTCTAGTATCTATGAAAATAGTTAAATTGTGGTAATCAGTTAAACTAGATGGGCTACTTTTGTTTGGGTGATAAGGGAAGACTTCTTTGAACGCACATGCCGAAGTATTAGGAATCAGGCTCGGTCTGGGACTGGACCTAGAAATCTGCGTGTCTAGCAAGATCCCTTTGGTGCTTATGACTTCACTTAGAGAACTCCTGGCTTCTGACTGGCTGTGATCCCACGTGCTCACATAACATAACAGCCTGGAATGTTGGCCATCTCCAAAACAAGAATTAGAGCACACAACCTGCTGGATCTAGGAGAAGACTGAATGAAAAGCCTCTTGGAACTGCCCCAGCCAGCAAGGCTGAGCTGTAGGATTGTTGTAACCTGTATAGGGGAGAAGTACTGGTAGGGATAGCCGGGTAATACCATGTCTAATTCCAACTCTTGGGCTATTCAGCCTCCAAACCTTGGCCAGCTAACCGCACTTCCCTGGACCCCTCTCCTGGCGGAAAAATGGGGGTAAATAATGCCTGACTTGCTTCCACCCTCTGAGCTCCTGTGAAGGGTCAAGTGAGACAATGTTAGTCAAGGTGCTGTGTAAATTTTATAGACAAGCCAGTACTTCAAAAGAGCTACCAAGGAAGGTAATGTTACTCAATGAATTACACCAGGAATCTACTAAGTGCATTACATGTACTCTTAATCAGAAGGTAAATTATTGCACATTGCCACTGGAATGCACTATTTATTTATTTGAAGAGATAAAGTCTGTCACCCAGGCTGGAGTGCAGTGGTGTGATCATGGCTTACTGCAGCCTCAAACTCCTGGGCTCAAGCTATCCTCCTACCTCAGCCTACAAAGTAGCTAGGACCACAGGCACGTGCCACCATGCACAGCTTTATTTTTAAAAATTTATTGATAAATATTACCTGAAGAGATTATTCACTCTAGACCCTCTCTAAACTTTGTTAATAGGGGACATAATTACTATTGTTGGTCGTTCTTTTTGTAATTGGAGGTAGAGAAGTACCCTTCCCTGACCCCTGAGAACTTGTGAGGGTACGATGGCACTATGTGGACAAGAAACTCGTTCATGCTACTCAGCAGTCAGAGACAGGGTTGAACAAGCATGGCCAGGCCCTGCTGTGTAGAGAGTGGAGGGGTATTGAGATCTGCCTACCCTGGGCCTGCCCCAGAGAGAGGCAAACTAGGGCCAGAGAAAGTAAGAGACCTGTGTGAAACATCTTTTTTTTTTTTTTTTTGACTCTCACTCTGTTGCCCAGGCTGGAGTGCAGTGGCGGGATCTCAGCTCACTGCAACCTCCGCCTCCCGGGTTCAAGCAATTCTCCTGCTTCAGCCTCCTGAGTAGCTGGAATTACAGGCGCCCGCCACTACACCTGACTAATTTTTGTATTTTTAGTAGCAACAGGGTTTCACCATAATGGTCAGGCTGGTCTGAAACTCCTGACCTCAGGTGATCTGCCCAACTCAGCCTCCCAAAGTGCTGGAATTACAATCGTTAGCCACCATGCCTGGCCGAGACAACATCTTACACTTAGAAGCTGTTAGAACTGGAAAAAGGAATCATAATGATTACTCATTTTCCTTGTTTTGCAGATGAAGAAACCAAAGTTCAGAAAAGTAAAGTTCCCGCCTGGGCACAGTGGCTCAAACCTGTAATCCCAGTACTTTGGGAGGCTGAGGCGGGCATATCACCTGAGGTCATGAGTTCGAGACCAGCCTGGTCAACATTGTGAAACCCTGTCTCTACTAAAAATACAAAAATTAGCTGGGCATAGTGGCGCACACCTGTAATCCAAGCTACTCAGGAGGCTGAGGCACGAAAATTGCTTGAACCCAGGAGGCAGAGCTTGCAGTAAACCGAGACTACCCCCACTGCACTCCAGCCTGGGTTACAGAGCAAAACTCTATCTCAAAAAAAAAAAAAAAGAGAAAAGAAAAAAAAGAAAAAGAAAAGTAAAGTTCCTTATCCAAAGTCACACAGCAGAGTCTAACAGAGCCAGGTCTCATACCTGAATCTCTTTATCCTAAATCTAGTAGCTTTTTCTATGTTAAAATAATGAAACTGGGTCTGGGCACAGTGACTCACACCTGTAATCCCAACACTTTGAAAGGCCAAAGCAGGAGGATCGCTTGAACCCAGGAGTTAGAGACCAGCCTGGACAATACAGTGAGACCCTATCTCTATTTTTTTTAAAGTTTTAATAAAAAAAAGATGGGGCCGGGTGCAGTGGCTCACGCCTATAATCCCAGCACTTTGGGAGGCCGAGGCGGGTGGATCACAAGGTCAGGAGATCAAGACCATCCTGACTAACACGGGGAAACCCCATCTCTACTAAAAGTATTTAAAAAATTAGCCAGGCGTTCTGGCGGGTGCCTGTAGTCCCAGCTACTCAGGAGGCTGAGGCAGGAGAATCACCTGAACCTGGGAGTGAGCCAAGATTGCGCCACTGCACCCCAGCCTGGGCGACAGAGCGAGACTCTGTCTCAAAAAAAAAAAAAAAGATGGAATTGGGATTTGAATTCAGGTTTTTTTTGATTCCTAACCAACTATAGTATTCTATATGCATATATTTCTAAATACAGTCATCCTCCCTTATCCTAGTGTATGCCTGAAACCCCAAATAGTACCAAACTCTATATATACTATGTTTTTCCTACATATACATACCTATAATAAAGTTTAATATATAAATTAGGCACAGTAAGAAATAAACAATAATAATAAAATAGAACAATTATAACAATAGACTGTAATCAAATTTATGGCTGGGCGCAGTAGCTCATGCCTGTAATCCCAGCACTTTGAGAGGCCAAGGCAGGCGGATCACGAGGTCAGGAGATCGAGACCATCCTGGCCAACACGGTGAAAACCCGTCTCTACTAAAAATAAAAAAACATTAGCTGGGTGTGGTGGGCGCCCATAGTCCTAGCCACTCAGGAGGCTGAGGCTGGAGAATGGCATGAACCTGGGAGATGGAGCTTGCAGTGAGCCGAGATCACGCCACTGCACTCCAGCCTGAGCGACAGAGCGAGACTCTGTCTCAAAAAAAAAGTAAAAATAAATAAATAAAATTTATGTAACTGTGCTCTTTCTCTCTCAAAACATCTTATTGTATATAATATTTTCTGACTACAGTTAACCACAGGTAACTGAAACATCAGGAAGCAAAACCACAGATAAGAGGGGACTACTATACTAGTCATGATCAAATAGTCAGGAATAGCTACTTTTATTGAGTAACTAGTATACACTAGATTCTATGGGAAATACTTGACATTCATTATCTCATTTAATCCTCATGATAACCCAGTGGGATAGTTATTATTTCCCTAAATGTCTACTGAGCCCCTACTATGTGCCAGGCTCTACAGGCTAGGTCCTGGAATGGTTATTGTCTTCAAATTACAAAGGAAGGCAATTGAAATTCAGAAAAGAAAGTAAGGTGGGTGCTCAGCATCACAGGCAGCAGCTAACTATCAGAGTGGGGTGTTTCAGGGTGTTCCATATCTCCAGGCCTTGTTCTTGCTCACTGCACCACTCTGTACAGCCTACCTCTCTTCCCTCCATTGCCATATCCATGGAGAATCCCTCAAATACTTAGGCCTCAGGAAGATACCAAACAAGGTGAATCCTATCTTTCTAAAGGGTAAACTCTAATTAGAGGAACCAAATAATTGAGCAATATTTAACCTGCGGCCAAAAAAAAAAGAGAGGCCAAAAAAAGAGACAAAATATGCTTTAGGCAGAAAGTGACAAAGATCAGGCTAACTTGTGCCTAGAGTTTAAACACATCATGTGCTTAAACACTAGGCCAGGTGCTGTGTATCACGCCTGTAATCCCAGCACTTCGGGAGGCAGAGGTGGGAGAATTGCTTGAGCCCAGGAATTTGAGACCCACCTGGGCAACATAGTGAGACCCTGTCTCTATAAATAAATAAATAAATCGTGGTGGCACATGCCTGTAGTCTAAGCTACTCAGGAGGCTTTGGTGGGAGGATTGCTGAGCCTGGGAGGTAGAGGCTGCAGTGAGCTGTGATTGCATCCCTGCATCCTAGCCTAGGCAACAAAGCAAGACCAGACCTTGTCTCAAAAAATGAAACCCACCAAATTAATAAAATGGGTCCAAATACCTATTTGGACTGGGCCGTGGTGGCTCATGCCTGTAATCCGAACACTTTGGGAGGCCAAAGCAGGTGGATCTCTTGAGCCCAGGAGTTCAAGGTAGGTCTGGGCAACATGACAAAACACCATCTCTACAGAAAAATACAAAACATTCCCAGCACTTTGGGAGGCCGAGGCGGGCGGATCACGAGGTCAGGAGATCAAGACCATCCTGGCTAACACGGTGAAACCCCGTCTCTACTAAAAATACAAAAAAAATCAGCCGGGCTTGGTGGCCGGCGCCTGTAGTCCCAGCTACTCCGGAGGCTGAGGCAGGAGAATGGCGTAACCCGGGAGATGGAGCTTGCAGTGAGCCGTGATCACGCCACTGCACTCCTGCCTGGGTGACAGAGTGAGACTCCATCTCAAAAAAAAAAAAAATTATCTGGGCATGGTGGCATACACCTGGAGTCCCAGCTACTGGGGAGGTTGAGGTGGGAAGATCACCTGAGCCTGGGAAGTTGAGACTGCAGTGAGCCATGATTGCGCCACTGTACCCCAGCCTGGGGAACCCAGTGAGACCCTGTCTCAAAAACAAAACAAAACAAAAACCTATTTGTAATTAATTATATGCTTGTTTGCTCTTTGTACAGACAACTTCCTAAAGAGAGAGCAGGCTGTGTGAGAGACTAGAGAGCTGGGGGAATTGATTTATAACCTGGGTCCCATCTCCAAGTTTGCTGAATGACTTTGGGCAGCCTCCTGAGCCTTCCATCCACAAAACAGGAAGCATATCTGCCCATCTGGCTTATGAGCAGGAAGAAAATACAAAGTTTACATGAAATTTTATTCCATTGGAGGGGGAGCAGTGAATAGGTAAAGA